TCCTGCTGCGCTGTGGCGTGCCGGTGTCGTTTCGTACTATTCTTTTGTGATTTTGCTATTCATATTTCTCTATGAACTGTTTTTTCGTCTGCCTCCGATCTGGTTGTTACTGCCGAAAAATCCTATTTCTGACCATTTATTCTGAAAGATCGTGTTATAATTAGGGTTTTTTTCTTTATTTCCCCTAGATCAGGTGTTAGGTTCTCAAAATTTATTTATTTATTTTAATTTTTGGAAATTAAGAGCTGGGGCTTGATTCCATTCAATATAAAACCTGAGTTACATGTGTAATAAAAGAATGGAATAAAGAATGATAACAATTTGTAAAGAGCTCCTAACGTAGACTCAAAATAAACTCCCTGAATGAGTTAAAAAAATATGAAAAATATAAAGGTGAGGATTCTGGCCAGATTTGCTTAGCGCATTAATATCTCGAAAAGAGCAGAAGATCAATAAATACATAAGCTCAGCTCACGATTACTGAACTAAACATCAAGGGGGAAGCAAAAAGTATTGGTGATCATAAGTAGCAGAGAGTCCAGCCCCTTGATGCTATAGCAACCATCCAGTGGTAATTGGAGGCCCATCATTATCCAATAAAGCATCTACCAGCGATGAAAGGAGAGGAAGAAGCTCTAGAGAACATCCAATATCAAAAGATTCTACGCACAAGCAAATTAGTGGAGACAGAACCCTAGAATTGTCTACAAACATGCATAAAGATATAGATCTCCATATTAGAAGACAAAACTGCTTGTTTTCCATTACATTTTTTTCCGATTGATAACTTTTTATTTCACAACTTGATGGACTTTGTGTTTTTCCGATTGATAACTTTTTATTTCACAACTTGACGCATGCCATGTTATATAATATAGGTGACGCATGCCATGTTATTGCCAAATCTTCTATCATATATTTTGCAACAACTTTGGTATATCATAAAACAAATACTAAGATAGTATTAACTTTTAATTGAATCAAAGCTTTACCAAATCACTTATATAATAAAACCACAAAGAAGTTTGGGTCTGAGCAGAAATGTGGAGGCCCAAAGCAGACAAGTGGTAAGAATTTGGAACATGTATTGACAATCAAAAGCAAATGGTTCTTGGTTTAAATATGTTCATTTTAGAAACCACCGATTATGTGGACATCAGTATTTTGAGCATGGAGAACATTAATAGTTTTTAAATCATTCATCATGCCGAGATAGACATAAGAAGAATATCTTATGGCATAGTGTTGATGCCAAATTTGTTAGCCCACTTTAGTCATGTGGTTGTAAAAGGCATTTATAACGTTCTTAAATCAAGGATTAGAGCTACCATTCCAAAAAAATCCAGCCCTCGAAAAATGAGAGGAATCACATAATTATGTTTATGTTATTTGTGATAGGGATCGTAAAGACGACCCAACTATAGTTTTACTTGTCACGCCTAGTGGAGATTTAGTGGAAAGAGATATAGTGGAGGACCAATTGATTCCATATGGGATTTATTATGAATCCTTTGATCCCAAAATAAGTTTATGCAACAATCATTTCCAACGGGGTAAAAGGCTTTGTTCTAAATTTGGTGGCAATTTCCATGAGTCTTTTCTCCAAGAAGGTTATGTGCACAAGAGAGAATCTACCCGTCATATAGATCATTTAGGAGTGTCATCAACAGCTAGCAAAAACTAAAGAGTTTAAAGGCCTTCAGATAAGAGGCATCAATAAAGATGAGTTATAAACAAAGAAAGCCACAAACCTTAGTAATTTTGGTGTGGTTATGTTAAGTCTAGCTATATTTGTTAAAAGAAGCATGGATGCATTGAGTGTGAAAGTATTTTGTAAGAGGCTACCAAAAACAAGATCATTTTCATGAAGCAAATGCAAGAAGCGATGAATGCGAGAAGAACCCCAGCGTAGTCACCTTTAGCAATTAATATTAAAGGAGGTTGTATAAAGAATCTAGCATAATATGAAATAAGTATGAAGATAGGGGATATTCCTGTTTCTGACCATCTGAGGAGTTGAAGAGGCCTTCAAAGAACCATTTATGCATATAGAGAATATCTTAAACATAAGCTTCAAGCCCATCTATGAAAAGATGCAAAAAGCTTTTTTTGGCTCACTCTGTATAGCAGTAATTTTTGGTTGATAGTGTCAAAATGCCTTTCTAATATCTTGCTTAGAACAAAAATAATCTCCTTCCCTATTCTGTTGGAATTCATGGAAAATTTCATTTTCAACAATGACATTGTGTGGATTTTTTGCACTACAAGAATCCAGCTTGATTGGATGAATAATAAAAGTCAATCAATTTTAAATGTCTGCCAAGTATCTTATTAACAATAATTTTGTAAATAGTATTACAGGAGATTTTGGTCTGAAAATAGAGATTGTGCTGGAATCATTGTTTTTGAGAATTAAAGCAATTCTCATGGCCTTCCCATTTTGTCGAAACTTTTATATGTAAGAAGCTGTGAACTGTAGAGTAGACTTGGTTACCTATGATCTCCCAAGTGTTGCATAGAATTCAAAAGGGAAGCCATCCCACCTATTAGTCGGTTTTTTTTTGTCCACGCTTTTTATTTCTTCATTTGCCATAAGCACAAGAAGTTCAAGTAATAGAGATTGTGGATGGTAGTCAATTGGAGTATTATTTTTGGACGATTTTTGTGTTAATTTAATCATAAACTCGTACAAACAATATGCTAGGCCTCAAACCTAATATCTCTTGGTTAGAAGCCTAGTTTCCAATCAACAGTATAATGGTGGGCTGCATGGTAGGGTACTATTAGGAGAGCTACTACTGTTAAATAGTTTTTTTAAGTGGTGTATGACAACAGCAGCACTGTCCAGAATGAAGAGAAAATATTATTCGAAAAAAAATTTTCTGTAATGATGTTGTAGTTCTTCCTATATTTGATTTTTCCATGCAAAAAATGGAGCTTATCCCCGTTATGGGAAAGCCATTTAGCTTTAGCATTATGTGATTGGACGGACAGGAATATACAAACCGACAAGTTTGCCACAATTTGCTTTAGATTTTGGAATCAAGTGAAGGCTTTTGAGGCTGAATGTCAAGTTATTGAAGAATATGAAGTTGTTCTTCCAATTCAGAAATTTAACAAGATAAATGATTTGTAAAGAAGTGACGCTGCACTTTTAAGTGGTTTTTAAGGAATTCTAATTTTTGATAGAATATTGATAGTATCCTCTCAGAATGAAGGTAGAAGCATTCTCCAAAATATCATAATTTCTTAAAGAGGAATTCGTGTTTTAGAAGAAACTGTATTAGTAGCATAAATTATCAAGAGTGATCTGAACACCTTAGAAATTAATTAATATAGTATGGCTGTATGATAAAGGAATAAATCTAGCTAGGCTTCGTAAAAAAATAATCTATCAAGCTTTATTTTGATTGGATTATCAGTCCTTTTGCTGAAATAAGAATATAAAAGTGGCACAAAGGAGAAATATTTTGTACTAGTGTCAAATAACGTAGAATTGATCTTCTAAAATTTGCTATTTGGATTGAGGTTGCCGCTAGATTTTTTAGAATGAAATTTGTAGAAATTAAAGTCACCTAAAATGACATATGGATTATTTATGCAGTTGAAATCTACTTAAGTGCGAACCAGAGTGGGTCTTTTAGCATGTGATTTGGCAGCATAGGTCGCAAATAGATGAAATGTTGTAGATTGGCCGCAATGACTTACCCCATGAATCATTCAATTTTAAATGATAGATGGAATAAAAGAGATTATGAGTTATTCCATTTTTCTGAAATCCTACTGCTAGGAAGGGTTAAAGATGTTGACATAATCTTTATTTTCAAAAAGTTGGTGCGAGTTGATGAACTGTGGTTTATTGAGTTGGGATGTGCTAATTTTAGATTCTAGAACACATAGGATCTTGGTTGAAGAAGTGGGTGCTCGTTATAGTTAAGGAGCCTATCAAGCCTATCAACCCGCCATCTCAAGATGTTTTATTGGGTAGAATATTGGATTTTGGAGTTATTGGATGGAATTTTTTTATTTTTTATTTTTTGCTTGCTTTTGGCTTGGCGCCTTGGAATTGGAAGAATAGAAGGAAAAGTGGGTTTATTAGATTTTGTTGTGGCTTAAGAAGACATACTTGAGAGTGGGTTAGGTTTTGTGACGAATTGTGAACTATTGTGACTGCCTCAAGGAGAGGTTAGGAATAACTTTTTTTCTTATATTTGTTTTGGGGACGTGATTTGCTTATGGGATTTAAATCTTGGAATGAGGGTTGAAGTAGGGTTGTTGTGGCGAGGTTTTCGGCGTCAACTTCTACCATGAGTGGATGTGGGAGGCGGGCGATTTGATGGGCGTGTTGATCATTTGATGAGAAGAGTGAATGAAGTATTCACAGAAGGAGTTGGCTTCCATTGATAGTGGACATGTAACATCCAATTCTTACCAAAGATGTGTATATTGATTTTGTCCAATAATGGTGAGTTTTTTGCCACATGGACACAAACCTTGGCAAAAAATGGAGGCAAGTTTTGCTGGCTATGAGGGCATTTACGGTAAGAGGAAGACCAATTTTAATGGCCATCTTAGGGATTCTAGTGGGGTTCCAACAGCATAGAGGAAATTCACGATTCTTGAACCATAGGAGAGTATGAGTGAATTGGGTGACCATTTTCCTGTGATGAGCAGTTTGTCACAGAAAAAAAAAAAAGACCCATCCATATCATTTCATAGTCTCCAGCGCTGAAAATTTAAATAAGAATAATCCATCTTAGAGAGAGAGAGAGAGAGAGAGAGAGAGAGAGGGACCTTTTAATGGTAAAGCTTTCTTAACTTTGCCTAGGAGTGCTTCTTAATAAAACCTTTCCTCGGCGAGTAACAATGTAGCGAAGCTACCAATGTTTTGGTTCTTAAAGTGGGCCTTATCATTTAAAAAAGGGATTGTTTCATCGATGTTTGGCACAAAGTTGAATGGGAAATTTTTGAAAGTAGGGTTTTGAGATGTGACAAGTTCTTTTTAATCCATGGTTATAGGATTTTTAGGAGGCATTGAGGGAGATCCTGGAAGTTTTGAAGCTGAGACTCGAGCAGTGCAACTGGGAAGGTAGGGATGTTGAGATGAGAAACATTTAAAGTATTTGGAGCCATTGTGCTGGAGGTTTGTAGTTAGGGCATCCTGCTAGTTAAAAACAGAAACTCTAGCAGAGCAACTAGGAAGGGAGGGAAGTCGAGGTGAGAAGCATTGAAAGCATTTGGAGCCATTATGCTAGAGGGTTGTAGTTAGGGGATCCTGCTAATTAAGAAACAGAGGTTCTTGCAGAGCAACTAGGAGGGGAGGGAAGTTGAGGTGAGAAGCATTTGAAGTACTTAGAGCCATTGTGCTAGAAGGGTTGTATTTGAAGCAGGATGATACCATACTGGCAAAATAATGATCTAAAGAACTTTCAAAGATCCTAAAAGATGAAGCTTCTGGGGTGAAGCAACTTGGTTTTTCGTAGAAGAACTGTCCGTGGAGGGGAGAGGAGGAGATTTCCTGGAAGAAAACCTTCAACCTCTTTCCATGGCCAAAGGAGTAGAAGAGATCAAAAGAGACTAGAGCCTAGAACACAAAAGGGGCTCAAAGTGAGAAGGCAGTGAAGAGAAGTGGTGGGATTTTAAGGCATGCAAGAATTGGAGACTTACCTTGGGCGGGAATGGGGGCAATGTTCAACTAATTGAGCTCTTCTATTTGTATAGTTGTTTGTCATGCAATTGCTTGCTGATGTTGCCACCGTAAAAAAAAGTATCCGAACTTTTTATTGAGGAAAGTAGTAGCACGGCACAGAAATTATTCATTCCATTGTCTGCTTAGTTTCTGCTCTGAAACTCTTGGTGTTTCTCACTATTTTTTGTGTGGTGAATATGATACTTACTACTCTTTTCTTTAATGGAATTCAATCTGTGATGTATAGGTTGAGAGGATGTCAACTCCAGCGAGGAAGAGATTGATGAGGGACTTCAAACGATTGCAGCAGGACCCCCCTGCAGGCATTAGTGGCGCTCCTCAGGATAACAATATCATGCTGTGGAATGCTGTCATTTTTGGGTAGGAATTATTGTAACTGTCATTAGTTTGTTGGTTTGCAAAAATAAACAATGACTTACAGCTGCTTTTATGCGTACTTGCAGCCCTGATGACACTCCTTGGGATGGAGGTAAAGTCATTTATGCTTTTAAGTTGTGATTCTGATAGAAGTGATCAAGCCTGAGGCTCATCTTGTTATACTTTCTGTTCATATGTTTTTTATTTTTTACTTCTATTACCATGCTTGTGTTTCATTTGTTTCATCTGTTTTGTCCATTAAATGTTTGCCACCTTCATGAATGCATGATTTTCCTAGCCTCTAGCTCTTATAATTACCTAATTCAACCATTACTTGATATGTTTCACTGAACTACTACTCTCTTTGTTGTTGGTTGTTTTCTGTGTTTTCAAGGTTGATTTTGCTATCCGTATAGCAGTGATATGAATTCAGTACTTGTAGAAGGCATGTAATATAAATGGTAATTTGATATGTTGAAAAATTTGTACAGAAAATAGAAGGCACTATTAGAGATTAAGGCGGTACAAAGTAATATAAGTTTATGATCATCATATCAAGCACACACAGCAAAGGAACACAATGAGTTAGAAAGATCGAAGTATGATATGTTTTCGATGTAGTCAGTTCAGACGGCATGGTTTATGTTGTTTTTTCCCCCTAAAACAGGTTTGTTCTGATGGTTTTTTGAGATTTTGTTGTTTAAGATAAAGTACTGCATGTCATGCCATGCTAGAGGAACGAACTGTTTAATTTGGACAACATTTTTTTAGGGTTCCATGCTACATATTTATCCTTTTTAGGTCCACTGTACCGCCTTTCTATGTGGAAGCTACACTTCTTTTGGAATTCCATGTTCTATCAACATATTTTATTGTTACATCCTGTACTACAAAGCCCTTGTTTATCATGGTTTTTTTTGTGTTTAATCACCCGTATGAAAGATCTTATATGAGTAGCTGTGGAAGTGGGGTTGTCTGTCACGTGGACCTAATATTGTTTTTTTTCCTTGTTTAATAAACAAACTTGGCCCCCTCTGCTTCAAATCACTTAAATTGGAACACATTAGATCTATTTTCATTATTTGTTATGCAGCTAGATGCAAGTCAAACATCCAAAAGTAACTTCACTATCAAACTAACCTGATGGTTGCGTTCTAATGGCTTCTCTGGTCGCATTATAAAGGAATCTCATCACTTTTCTTTGATGCCATGAAATCAAAAAATACCTTTTGTTGGGGGCCATTTTATAACTAGGTTGGATGCCAAAGTGATATATATATATATATATATATATATAGATGGATAGATATATAAGCTTGCTTGAACAGTTCGCATGGACTCCTCATTTAATCATATTATTTGACAACTTTTTTTTGATGTTTTTTTGGGAATTCCTTTTTTGCTACCTATGTTCTGTTTAGCTGTTCTCTAATTTCATATTAAAAATGTGTTTTCATAACTGTTAATTGCCAGGTACGTTTAAGCTCACACTGCAGTTTACTGAGGATTATCCAAACAAGCCACCAACGGTTCGATTTGTTTCTCGAATGTTCCATCCAAATAGTAAGTTTTACTTTGCAAAACTTAAAGTTAATCTCTATATGGACATCTTTTTTCAATTTGCATGCACATCACTATATAAAACAGCCTTCTGAATGTAGGACGTCCAAGACTTGTAAGTCTCAGTACTATTAAATATTCGTAAATATTTGGAGTTTTGTTGCTATTGTTATACTTGGAATTGCTCAGAAAAGAAGGTGGAAGATCAGTTAGTTTCCTGAGGAGTTCAAATAAAGTTGATTATGTGTTTGTTGTCAATTTGAAGTTGGATGTTACAGATATTTGATTGATGAATGACACTGTGGGGAAATATTGGGCTCTGAAAAACAAATCTGGAATAATTAATTTGCTGAATTTGGTATCTTGTTTTCACTTTTGAAGTGTTAAGATGCCGTTTGCCATATGAATGAAGCTACAATGGTAGTTTGTGTTGAGAAGGTAATGGTAGGGGAGTTGAATTGTTTTCCACTAGCAATGATGATGTGAAGCTATGAAAATTGGGAGAGGGTCAAATTGCTGAAGCATCATAACAGTTGGGATGTTGGGGCTTTTTGAAAATTAATTCCCTAGCATATCTGAACTATTAAATGCTTAACCAAATGATGTTTGTGGCCATTTCTTTGTAAATCTCAGGTATTCTTGATTTGAGAACTTTGATTTCTAGCCTAGAAAGTTTGATCGTGCCAACAGGTGAGAGGTGAGATGTAGGTGCTAATTTTTCTTTAATTACGATAGAGTTAGTGTAAAGAAAACCAAATGAGCATTTATGGTGTCATATAAACATATCTAACATTAAATTCAAGGTTCATATTATATGACATTAAGAATTTAGATGCAAAACTTTATGAAATAGACTAGATATATTGGATGATTTCATGCCCTATTTATAAGATAAAAACAATATGAAAATTCTTTTCAACATAAACAAGCCATAACAAGTATAGTGAATAATGAAATACATGATACCCAAGGATTAAAGTTGCGCACTTGAGTATTGAGACATTTGTGAAAATGAAGGTAACAATATGAAGCGAAAGAAGTATAATACAAAGATGAACTGATCAAAGTAAGATAGGAAGTAAATGAAAGAAATATAATACATCAAAGCAAAGTATGATATCAAATAAGTTTAGCATAATAAATTTCTCTGTATCACTCCTAACATAGCGTTGGCACTAGGGATCGCCGGCGGAGGTTGTAGCCAAAGGAAAGATTGACAAATGCACGAGTGAGGAGTTTCATGCATGAGAGGTGATCTTCGTGCGTGAGAGGTCAGCTTTAATTGATGGGGCTGGTTATAAGTTATAACATTAATTAAAATAAAAAAAAAAACCCTAAATTAAGAGTGCATGCCTTCCCCAAATGTGAGGTATCTGCCTTACTTAAATCACATGAGGCATGCACCTCAAAATGATTTTGGCTTGTGGCAAGCCTCTGATTGTGCAATTTTAAAAAATTATCACGCCATATTAAAAATTAGTTCTTATGTGCACCCTACAAACTATATATTAAAAAATGGGCAGGATAAATGTGCAAAAAAAACAAAAGAAAAAGAAAAAAAGGAACGGGCAATAAGAATATGAAGAAGAGTTAATAAAATTGTTGATTTGTTATTTTTTTTGGAACAATAAAAATTGTCAAAATAACTAGGGTACATATTTGTATGGAAAGATTTTAAGAAGTAACATGAAATTTGTTGAATCTTGATTTGTCCGTGGACTTGGAGTTAGGGACGAAGAAAACAACAAGCTGAAGAGGGATTTTTTGTTTTTACTATGAGGGAGTTATGTTACACCATTCAAGGATTAATTATTTATCATATTTCTTACATCTCTCCTATTTTCGTAATTGGGTTTTTCTCATATAATATAAATAAGTGATCATTGTGTATAAATCTTTAGAGATTTCTGGCTTATTTTCTTTTATCTTTTTTTGACTTTGGTTTACAATTAATATTATATCTAGAATGTTATCCTCTGATGGTGCCACATATCGTCTTCTGTGTCTCCCACGTTCGACGGGTCACATCCTTGTTAGCCTGTTCGACTCTTGGGGTAGTTCGTCTCTATATTAGTTCAACCTTAAAGTAGTTGGTTCCTCTGGTAGGGTGGATCCAATATTATAATGGACCGAGCCACATTATTGGATGGACTTCATAAGTTTGACAGATGAAGTATTTGTCTGATGGTCTGTACTCTGTAGCTCGTACTTGACAATTCATTGATCCTAGCTTGGTAAATTGAGCTGAGAAATATGATCTTTCTTTTTGTATTATCCAGATCTTAGTGTAGAGTTCAATATGACTCTATTTTGACTGTACATATTTAGTTCATGATTCTCTTAGTTCTTGTGAAACAAAGTTGCAAAAAGAATAAGAGAATAGTGAAAACACCAGTTTGTCAACATGTTGAGTATACATAAATAGATACTATTTAATGATATTTATATTGAAAATTTACCTCTTCATTCCTTATAAATAAGATGATAAGGTGCTAACCTATTTACTATTTTACTTGTTGCTTTTGTTTCTGTCTCTGTTTCTATTTTTCATGTTTCATTTCTTCAAATTATTCTGATGAATAACATTTCATAAGAATACATTGACATTCTCACCTTCAAACTCCCAAATTCTCACCTTCAAATTCTCTGAGAGTTTGTTAGTAAGCGGAAGCATAGTGCTGGCTCAAAAAGGAAGAATAGAGTTTTGAAGTGATCGAAGGAGCACTTGGCTCTTGCATTGGAGCATTATTCCTTTGAGGATGTGAATTTTTTGCTTGGGTGTTCGGCCTTGGTATGGTAGGGGCCTGCTGAGAAGTCATCTGGGCCCTTGCTAGCGTTGATTGACGTTACCGAATCAAGCAGCTTGCCAAATAATCTCACAACTCTAGCATGAATGTGGATTAGATGGTACAAAAAGTATCTATTAATATTATACAGAAGCTGGAATTCATTATCTCTCCTTTTATTTTTCTTTCTATTTTCAGTATTTTTTTTTATTTGGAGAACTTATGGATAATTCCCCTCGTATGGAGATTATGAGCAAACTGAACTTGAATGTGGCGTTGGATCCCTTTGAGGGAATGAATAATTTAGCTTAGAAGGAAGCTAATCATCAATCGGAGTTTCTCCTTTGAATGTAGAGGAGCATGTGGCGGATGCTACGAATGGGAATTTGGAAGATTGTAAGGTCAGCCCTTACGTTGCCTATGCGGGTGCTAGAGGATCCACCCTTAAGCGTTTTCAAAGCTTCTTTCGTTGCTGAGTCGTCTGAGCATGGACAATAATTGAGCGAGTTGAGATGTGAACTTGTCGATTTGAAGAAAACTCAAGGAGACCTAAAGAATGAATTAGCTAAGTTATGTGATACGTGACTTGTACTTTAGGGGCATGCCAAATCTTCCCACTTGGCCTAGTTTTTAATGGAGAGTTTGTGCTAAAGAGACTCTTTTGGTTAGATGATCTTTGCAGAGCTTGCTTCTGATTCTTGTGTCGAGTTTTTCCTTGTATCCATGTGGTGTGCTGGTGTATTGATGTGTATTGCACGACTCGCTTTTGTCGAGTTTTATAATGAAAAGAATTTTCTTGAATAATTACTTGATTTTGTTATGGTGCCTCGATTTAAATGAAGATTTGATAATTGTTATTAAATGCATAATTTTTAATTGTCTTTATTTTACCATTTTACCTATATAATAATTACAGTCTTCTTCTATAAAAGAGATGTCGCGTAATATTTTTTTTTTGAGTGTTTTCGTGTTCTTTTCTAGGATCTCTTTTGAAGACAAGTTTCTTCCTTTGCTCTAGCTACAAGGTGTTCGGGGAGGTTAAACTACCAGAGAACTTCAAGTTGTTTTCCAAAGGCGGGTTCCTTGCGCAATGCAAGTTTTTGTTCGATTCTTCTATTCATCTGTGAGTGACATAGAAGGAGAAGCCCAACTCGATGCATGATAAAGAATTGTTATTTTATCGAGATCAGTTCAGGAGTGGTTGCGACTTCCTTTTCTCTCTGACAGGAGTTGATTGGCTGCACTATACCTAACGAAGTCATGCCGAACTCATTCGTTGGGATTATCACAGGGATCCACTTTAAGAGGGGGACAAAGGCACCGTGGTTGATTGGCCTATTTCGAGCGCTATTCACCATCAAGGCTTAAAAATTTTGGTTTTTTCAGTTCTTTTGGACTAAGGTCGAGTTGTTTATCTCTTTCAAGAAGGGTTGGACAATCGAAACTCGGCTTGGGCTATATGGTCCAGAGAAGAGCATGGTCCAGCTGTCCTTCATGGAGCATGCCTGCTGCCACATAATAAAGGTGGTGGCTCTTGATGTGAGATTGTTCCTGGAGTGCATCTTCTTGGGGAAGATGCTAGCTCATAAGGGTTATTCCTGTCCATTATTTCTCAATTAATCTTGTATGCTTAGTGTGTTTATTTTAGCTTTTTTCTATTTTTCTTTTAGCCCATTTTTTTGCCTAGGTCGAGGAGGATGATGAGACTTTTTTCACCTTTGGTGGAAGAATTAATTGTTGAACTCGTTGAGGTAAGTTGGCACTAAATCCTACCTGTTTCCTTTAAATTGTATTTACCAACAATTATTTTATTTTGTATATTTTTATTCTTAGGCCTTCCACCAAATTGACAAGATTGATTGATAGGTGATACTAATTCTTTTAGTTTTTGTCCTTTTTTGAGGTAATTCTCTTGAAGGAGAGAACCAACGAAATTATAGTTATATTGAGAATATAGCTTCCTGTAGGTCTTGAATGGAGGTGGATTGATTTAACTTCTTATGCGAAAGCGGCTCTATTGGAAACCACATAAGAGAGAAGGCCTTTCGTGTTTGTCGATTAGTCTACAAGGACTAAGACCGCCCCCTACAACACTCTAGAAATTACCCTAATTGACGCCAAGTTTCCTGTGATTGGTGAAGCAATCCTTTTGTGGCTGAGGGAGATGATCAAGCGGAGGCAAAGACATCCACATATGGGACAAAGGGGGAGGTGATG